AGAAGCATCTGCCGAAAAACCGATGCCGGTAGCGACAAAAACCTGCGGGGAACTCTGCAAAAAACGGATCTTCGCATGGGCAGCCCGTGCGTTGGCCATTTATTTTGCTTTGATCAGACTTGCTCAGTATTTCATTGCAAAAACATCGACTGTTGTAGTTTGGCCTTTGGTCTTTTCGGTTTTCGTTTACTGGCGCAACCTGTGACTTTGTAAAACGGCCGTACGGTCGTCAAAGTATCTAGTACTTTGTTGTACTGTTACTCAGAAGCGGCCTGCGTCACTTGGACATAGATTATTGCCGGGCTACTGGTAGTGATGCCATCAATCATTCACTGCATAATCGCACCATTGCGTTGGAGATCGCCCGAATCCCATGGTTATCACCGGTAATAGTTCGATTTACTGAGTCGATTGGAGCGAAAAAAAAAATGCTTTTAAGCTGAGATCATCTGTCCTTTCGCTGATCTACAAAGTGAGTGAGGGTTGCAGGTGTGGAACGCGGTTACTCACCGTTGCGTCGTTCAGGATCACCACGACGTCGCCGTAGTGGTAGTGCAAGTCGGCGGCGACGCTCACGATCACGTTCAAGGTATGCTGCTGAGCTGATTCTTTCTTGGAAAAAACAAATTTTCAAAGTCTCATTTTTAATTTCTGTGAACTGAATATCTGGCGCTAACGGTGTGATCGAGGTATCTTGCATAGTGGATTATTCGTAATTTAAAAAAATTTTTTAAGTCATTTCTCGCTCCTCACTGTTCACCCCATCTTTTCCGGCCTTTTCACTCCGGTTTTTATAGTGAATTACTGAAAAGCCCCTTTACCCCTTTACTTTTGATAGTTTTTTATTTAGTTTAATTTGGATTTCAAAAATGTAGGTGAAATTGTTATATATAATCTATGAAGCTGAAAGTTCTATAATGGCGAGCGACGTCGGGCGAGTGATGGGTGTAACTGGAGCTGTATAGTTCAAGATCGTCCATCGGACCTATGGGCTTATCTCCGTAGCATCATTAATATGGGATCTCCGCACCAGTTTTCTGGTGGTCTTTGCAGGCACGGTAAAAAGGCACTTGAATCTAACAAGAAAGATGATTTTTTTCTTTTTGTAGGTCACGTCATCGTCATCGTAGCAGATCAAGGAATCGACGTTCACGTAGCAGATCACGGTAATGCTTTGGTGAAATATTTAAAATAGCCATTGCATAGGAAGGGGTCTTATAGTTTTTTTTTTTTTGTGAGCTTGGAGAACGAAGCCATGGAAAAATGTGGCGAAAGGAGAGGGAGGTAGAGCGGAAAAAAAGTCAGCAACCCGTTGAAGGTGTTATATTTTGTGGGCTTTGTCATGGTTAGGATGCATCCATCTCTTTTTTCAACACTTTTCACTTGTTTCGCTACTCTTAGATACTGGAATTAAAATGTATTTGCGCAAGGAACTAAATATGTTCCGTCGATTTCGACGAGTAGTGTAGTTTTAGCTTCAGTAGTGCCATCCTTTGCTTGTGATTGCTTGTCTGTTGAAACTTGGCCAGGGGATTTAAGATGATTTTTCCCAGAAGGGATCGATAGTATTTGTAACTGTTTCGCTTCTTTGTTTGATTTTGCACAAAATTCTCTTTGTTTTTTACTGCATAAAATTTTTGTGCATAACCGTTAAATTTTTGCAAAATTTTTTTACAGATAATTGTGGGTTTGCAGGGTCTTGTGGGTTCTTGTTCTTCCCTTTTCGTTCTCCGCCGTTCATCTCCTTTCTCTTTATGTTCCATCGCTCTCCACTTACGGACCTGCCATATCAGTGGTCCTTTTTATAGGTTGATCAGTGCAGGCAGTTTTAGCGTTGAGCAAACCCAGTTTTAGATCGTTCGTTCATTTTCCATTTACTCATCACAGGTTTTCGAGAGCAACTGCATCTGCGTTTGCGTCGACCCACTTGATGACATGCCTAACCTCATTCTAGTGAAACCACTATGTCTCCGTCCGTCAGATGAACTAAACGACTGAGAGAAAATTCACCCTCATTCATCGAACATTTATCATTCCTTATAAAACCATACTTTACTTTTTTCATTTTTTTTCCCCAGCGAATCTTGTTTCTTCTACGTACCATGGATTATTCTGGGGCCAAAAAATTGCCAGTTAAAGATTGGATTCATAAGAACAAGTGACGCGGTGGGGAGAGGGGAAGAAAAAAGGCTTGGTTTGCTTCCAGTTTTATTACACTGAAAATGTTACAGAGACCGTCACCGTCGTTCACGCTCTCATTCACGTCACAAAAGGCGTTCACGTTCAAAGGATCGAAAAGACAAGGTTTGTTAATACCATATAATTGTTTTTGTATAAACTTTGGATGCGTTATGACTTCTGCTGATGAACAGGATTTTTAGGAACGACGTGATAAAGACAAGGATAAAAAGGAAAAAAAGCGAAGCAGAAGCCGAAGCCCACGGAAGAAGGACGAAAAGGATAAGGCCAAAGATAAGGATAGAGATAAGGATCGGGAAAAGGTCTCTGTTTCCATTTATCATTCATTTGCTTTTGTATTTCATTGCTTTTATCACAGTTACGACCGCTTTAAACTCCAGCATCTTCTCAGGGAATCCGTAGTGCCAACACTATCAGGCGGGGATAGTTTTGCATCGGGTCAGGAAAATTTATTGAACTGGAAGAATTCAAATTAATTTGGGCTTGTTAAATCGTATTGAAAAACGCAAAGTCAAAAATTGCATTGCTTTAATTTCAGATAGGACAACCAATCCATTTGCGTTCTGCCCGTTCAGTTTTTTACGTTAAATGGGTAATGGCACATTCGCCAGGCAGTTGAGATTTTCATAAGCTTGCTTAAAAGAAGCATTGGAAGAGGAAGCTGCACATTTGCTACCACTCGAGCTAGGCTGTTTCCAAAGGCCTCCGCCTTTCATGCTTGGTGAATACAGAGGGGATTTCGACGATTCGAATGGCACTAGTTTTAGCGGCAGTAGTCGAGAAAGGTGAGCGTGAGGGCGGGGGAAAGATCTAAAAGCTTGCTACCGACTGACATAATTATTCTTCGAACATCCGGTGTATAGATCCGATGTTAGTAGTTTTAATGGAATGTACCCACATATCGTATGCAGTTATATTAGGTTTTTATGCATTTTTTGTATCTATGCAGTGCAGAAATGCGTACCGCCCAAGAGTTCTGTGTGTATGTGTCTGTGTGTATTGTGCGCGCCTCTGTACCGAGTTTTTACCTCGAGGCTGCAAAAACTATAGGACTGAAACTTTGACAACTTAATCTACACACATGTACGGGTCTCAACCGTCGAAATGGGCGCGCTTTTCCACGTAGTCCTCAAGTACGGGCCTGTGGAAATTTTTGCGAGGGGGACGGGAGGAGTAAGTTTCTAATTCAGGAACCAGAAAAGCTAGGAAGCCGAAATTTTAAGGGGGATGTTTCTCGACAGTCGTGGTGGTCAGTCTCAATTCTTTTAACTAAAAGTGCCTGTTGGAAAAAACAGTGCCGTTAAAGACAAAACCTCCGAAGGAATTGTATAAAAAACGCATTTTCGTACAAGCATTCGACGCGTTGCCCAGTTATTCTTTCTTGGGCTTTTTATCTCTGTTTCGTATCCGCCATTTGTACTGTGGGCGTGCACGATTTTTTGACTGTTGCTGAAGGGGGGTTCTACGCCCGGTGAATACCGCTTGGTGATGCGACGTCTGCAAGGTATTGGCAGACAAGTGACATGTCTCATTTACGTCGTTTTATTTTTTTCCGTTTTCGCAGCAATAGCTGGACTCTCAGTGCAGAGGGGAATAACGTTTATGAACGCTTATATTGTGTTGCTGTAGTTTTTGTTATTGAAATATCAAATTTGTCATGTGTCAAGTTACTCAGTTGTATTTCAGGACCGGAAAAAGGAAAAGGAACGAGAAAGTAGTAGCCGAAAAGACAAGGAAAAGAACAGCCGAAGTGAAAGGAGCGATAAAAAGGACAAAAAAGATGATAAAAGGGATCGGGACAAGGACAAAAGAAGTTCGAACAAAGAGAAAGAGCGCGATAAAAATGGCAGTGGCAAAAGTGACAGCAAAAGCAGTCCAAAAAAAGTTGAGGTGAAGCTGCAGATCGAACACGTTCGTTTATCCCTGTTTTTGTTTTGGCCAGATAATGTGGCATTGCTTTTGCTTTTTCGACCAGAGCAACACAAAGTATGGGTAAAAAATGAATGCTTTATTTATACCATTTGTTCAGGAGTCATTTTTAGGGTGAAAGTATAAAAACGGATCCTCCAGAACAGCCACTTCCCGATGAAACGGCTATTCGTGAAAGATTGATGGAAAAAGTTCTAGCAAGAAGCAACGGACAAAAAAATGAGCAACCTGATAGTTCGGCCTCTGCTACTGAGATCACTAATATTAATGATGACAAGTAAGTAATTTTATTGATTTGTGATCTTCGATTACTCTGATGCCTTCCATGAAAATATGATATCCATAAGGCAGAAAACGTTCGCCAGTTTTAAGTAGCTTAGAAGGAACAGGTAAAGTAGGGTTAATTGATGGCTGAAAGAATTGTTCAACTTACAAAGATTCTTCGTAATAGGCAACGAGGAAAAATCTTTGTAAGCCGAGCAGTCTTTGTATAAAGGCCTGCTCAGAACGGGCAGTGTTTGGAAATCTTGAATAATCTCAGCACTGAAAAAATGAATTTTTTTTGTACTACTCTGTTTCAGAGATGAATTGGCATTGAAACGAAGTTCCAGCATGGAAGATGAGGCGATTGCAACGAAGAAGCCTCGAAATCGCTCGAAATCACCCAGTTCATCGTCTGGTTCTTCTTGAATTCATGCACATTTGCACTGCCGTGTTGGTTAGGCACATGTCTTCAAATTTCATTTGTGTCTTCAGTTTATTTCTTAAGTGAATGTGCTAAGTATGCCCGGAGATCTGTCCGGCGCTCCGAAGTACTGCTTGCAAATGTTTATGAATGCTACCGAAAGGAGGTAAAAGTGAGGGATGGTAGGAGTGTGCGGATGGAAAGGCAAAGAAACAGTTTTAGTATCTGCTTGCACGTTTTGGCTGTTATTTGGTAGTTAGTTAGGGACCTGGACAATTGCCCAAATTAGTTCTTTGGGAACACAGCTCAAAATTATTCGGCTTAAACACTCCTTTTATTTATTCAAGAATAGAGACAGGTGAGTCCTTGATACCTATTCATAGAAAATCGAGCATTTTTTAGTAACAACTCAATTCGTGCTTGGGGGTAGCAAGCAGGTTGTCGATGGGCAGGGCTCTCTTCATTTGTTTCTCTTTAATATGTGAGTAATATTTGTTTATGCTGTGTAAAATGTTTTTTGGATTGCAAAAATTTACAAACAAATTTTCACACACTTAACTTTTTAATTGCTACGGCAAATCCTCTTGTTACAGACTTATTTTTGAGCTTATTTTAGTCAAAAATTTTTTAATCTATACAGATTTTGCTTTTAATTCTTTAGGCAGTGCATATTTCCTACACTTGAGTTTCTTCCCTTTTTACGCGTCTTGCGCTATGTAACAGCACACTGTTTTATGTGTGTGTGCGTGCGTGTGTGTGTGTGTGTGTGTGTGTGTGTGTGTGTGCAAGTGCGTTTTGTTCCGCATTTCCAGTTCGGGGAGCGCAGAAGCTAGGAAGCTGAAAGTTTAGAATGGTGTCCTCTGCCCACTTGTGTCATAGCAAATTTAAATTCAGCTTTCACATATCCCTGGGTACCACTTACTACCATGAAAGTTTTGACGAGAGAATTATGTCTCGGGAACCACGAAAGCCAGGAACCGGGAATTTTAGGAGAATATCTCTTGTCTATCTGCCATCGCATTAATTTAAAATCAGCTTTCACGTATCCCTAGGTTTCCGGTAAGGCCCTATTAAAGTTCTGACAGAAAAAATTATCTCTGGGAGGCTGTAATTTCAGGACGATATTTTCTTTCTGTGTAGGGACCTCGGGACCTCACAAATTCATTCACATATGCCTAGCTCTCAAATACAGCCGTGTGAAGGTTTTGACGCGGAAGTCACTAACTCGGAAGCCAAAAAACTAGGAAGTTTTAAGTCTGGAAGGATGTTTCCTTGTCCGTGTGAGATGCAAAACTTTTAAATTTACTTTTCACGGATTTTCACGCTTCACGTAACAGTGAAATTTTAGTGGGAAATTTCGTAGCTTAGGAACGGCCATCGTACCGATTGTTTTTGCAAATACTAAAGTTTAAAACAGCTGGGATTGCACAGAACATATGATCGCACCAGCTACCCTGACGCATCGCTAGTTACTTCCTCTTCCTTTGGCGTGGAAAATGGTTGATGGATCAAGCAGTTAGGTTTTTATCATTATTTTAAACAGCGTTTCTCTAAAAAACGTATGAGATAACAAGGATTTCAAGGAACCGGTTCTCATCGGAAGGTAGAGATTTGTAGAGATTCTGAGGGACGGCTTTTTAATGAAAGTTGTTGGGAAACAAGGACTGTAAGAAGCGATTTTTTAATGAATGTGTATGCGCATTTATGAGCATCGTTAA